TGGGTTGCTCTATCTCATGCAAAGGCCTTTTTCCTGTAATTTTTGGACTGGCCTTGCATCTCCACATGCAGGTGGCATAAATCCCTCTGTTAAAGCACGTAGTAAAACATGTTTAAGACCTGAGTGTGCCTAGCCAAATGGCAAGTCAGTAGCGTACTTTGACTATTCTCTGCATTCTCTCGCACTCTGTTTTAGGTCTGTGTTCTGACTGCTCTATGTTCACAGTGAATCCTCTGACCCACACTTGTTGCATGAGATGATGTGTCAGGTGGTCGGCCTGGCATGCTGAGAAGAAGCCAATATCTTGATTAAGGAGAGACGAGTTTGTCTTGAGGACCATGCTACCCTGGTATCACATGAACGTCTGAGTGACCAGAATTGGTGAGTGTAATTAAGTACACAGGAGGAAAATGGATTTCTTAGTTCATTAATGGCATACAACTGTAACATGTGGTGGTGGAAAAATTTTAAATAAAAATAAAACCATATTTAGGGGAGATTCCTGACACTTTGAGAGAGAGAGATTGGAAAGTGCAGAGACAAACATTTTGTTGTCTGCCGGAACAGGTTGGACTAGGCATGGCTGACACTGAACAGCTCTAATTGGCTGAGAGCATTCAGCTGACTGTTAGCCAATGAGTGCAGCTCTTCATCGCCCTGCTTAGCTCAGGAGAACAAACACCTCTCTCATCTCCTGAATGATGAGTTGGTGGGCAGCAGAGGAGGTTTGGGTAGATGAGTTGGTGGGCAGAAGTGGAGGGGGTGGGTAGATGAGTTGGTGGGCAGGAGTGGGGGGGAATAGATAAACAATCTGGTTTGCAGGAGTTGGGGGTGGGGTAAATGTGTTGGTGGGCAGGAGTGGGGATGGATCACTAATAGCTATACTTGTTTGTTGTTGTTTTTTTTTGTTTGTTTTTTTGGTCACATTACACAAATAATCACTGTTTTATAATCATCGTACGGTCTTTGATTCCATTTCATATACAGACTATAGTCCACAAATTATAAATCACCTTTAATTCAATGGGGAAACCTTATGTAACAAACAAACAACGCACTATAACATTCAGTGTAAGTGTTACTCCTGAAAATCTGTCTTTTAACCCCTTAAGGACACAACTTCTGGAATAACATGGAATCATGACGGAATATTTGCGTCATGTGTCCTTAAGGGGTTAAAAACTATTCTGGTTAGAATTAGACCACAGTTGCAAACATGGGTTTTTGTTTCCATACAGAATGATTATATTTAAAAGTAGGGTAATAGTTTAAAAACAAAAACTTTATGGAATGTGTAATCAGTCACTATAAAACTCCTTGTGGGAAAAAAAAAAGTCTGATTCCTTGTTCTTTAAATCTAAGCATTCCTATTTATTTTATTTTTTTCCTTTTTTTTTTTTTGTGTGTAAGTTAAACAGATGTTGGTATGTTTGTCCTCTTTCTACAGGTGTAACACGATGGACATTTCTTTCAGCTGCTCTAACCCGGCCCAGGACGGTTGTCCATCATCCCTTGTGCCGTCAAGCGATACAACCTCAGGTTTACCTTTTAGTGCACATGTCCTTGTGGGTGTTACAGGAAGTGTGGCTGCTTTGAAACTGCCTAATCTGGTGTCTGGCCTCTTGCAAATACCAGGGGTATGTCAAACTGTTTGTTCTAGTATATCTAAATCTTTTTATTTATTTTTTTTATTTTTCTTATTTTTTTTTTTTTATTTTATCTTTAATTTTCAGACTTGTCTCTGAGCTTATAGCATTTGTAACCATAGTGAGCTCTTCCCCATGCTATTAAAGGATCCTGTGGTGTGTAAATTAACCATCTAATGGACGATGGGACAAAGATAGTTACATTTAATTTTGATTTTGATGAATTTCTGGTACGTTTACCAGACGGAGGAAGATCAGTCTGGAGCTGTATATATTGAATGGTCCTTTCGAGAGGGGTGTGATGGAGATGAACCCCTCTATTCAATATATAATGCACATTTGTTGTTTAATGAACTGTGCAACATCATAAGTAGTTTGCAAGTGGTTTGTTACAAATATAGACAGAATAGTTGGTACTTGACAAACGTCTGTAAACCATTAAACAATCAACAGGCACTCCCACTTGTCCCAACTTCATAATGCCCACTGTTCGGAGGTATAAAAATGCAATGTACACGGGTAAAATATGATTCCAGTTACAGTGCTTTAGATTACACCTTGTCAGAACTGATAATCTGGCATGATGACATATGTGGCTTTGTAGTAGTATTAGAGTAAAAAAAAATTGGTGACACTGTACTGTTCTCGTGTCCTTCTTGTATAGATGTACTATCCTTACTGTGCAGAGATCCTAATTGGTACAGTCTCAGATCTGACCACAAAGTGGAACTTTGGTACTAGGTCTGGCATTTGTAGAGATGAATTAAAAATGGGTTTGAGAATGGCTTCTGCAAATCTGAGTGAGAGTCCTACATGCTTTTTGGTAGAAAATTCAGTCGTTGAACTTATTTATATCCATCTACATTATTTAGTCTCTTTAGTTTGTGTGTCTGCCTGTGTTCTATGCAGTTATATATATATTATTTTAAAATCATTTTTGTATATTGATCTCTTTATCAGGTACAGGTTAAAGTTGTAAGCACAGAGAGAGCTAAGCATTTCTACAATGTACATGACCTATCTGTTCCAGTATATAGTGACCAGGATGAATGGGAGGTGAGTGTTTTTTGGGTCAGATCTATTATTATTACTATTTATTATGTATAGCGCCCGGGCTGGCCCAAGACATTATGCTGCCCCACCCCTCCCCCTGCACCAAAAGCATGCCAACATCCATTATGTTATGCAATGTGTGAAGTGAATGCAGTGTGTGTCGTGAATGCATTGTGTGTGTCATGGATGCTGTGTCTGTTTTTGTGTCATGGATGCAGTGTATTGTATGCAGTGTGTAAACTTGTGGAGAAGTGTGTGTAGTGCATGTAGTATTTGTGTGGTGGATGCAGTGTCTGTGCAGTGGATGTAGTGTCTGCATAGTGGATGCAGTGTCTGTGTAGTGCATATAGTCTTGGATAAGTGCTGGGGGGGTGAGCAGTTTAAGTTATTTGAGTGCTGGAAGGGGTGGGGGGCAGTGTGTAGGAAGGTGACAGTGTGGGGGGCAGACTGTAGGAGTGCAGGGTGTGGAGGGACAGGCTGTGGTGGACCAGGGTATGGGTGAGTATGGTGTGGGAGTGCAGGCTGTGGGGGGCAGGCTGTTGGAGGGCAGGCCGTGGGGGTGGAGCAGGGTGTTGAGGTACAGGCGGTGGGTGGGCAGTGTGTAAGGGATAGGGCAGGCTGTGGGGGATGGAGCAGGGTGTGGGGAGCAGGCTGTAGGTGGACAAGCTGTGATGGACTTGGTGTGGGGATGCAGGGTGTGTTGGTGCAGGCTGTGGGGGATGGAGCAGGCTGTGGGGGATAGTACTGGGTGTGGGGGGTGGTGAAGGGTGTGTGGGATGGGGAGGCTGTGACAAACCTCTCCACATTGGCATACCATTTTCCTGGTGATTCAATTGGATTGCTAGCCTGTCTGCAGCTCTGCCGGGTGTGAGCTGCAGACCACGGCAGTGGCAGTATGGAGTTCTCGCGTGCTCCGGTCCGAGTGTTGCCGTGGGAACCCGCAGCAACACTCTGAGCTTGCGAGACTTCCGTCATATGGTCTGCAGCTCACCCGGCAGAGCTGCAGACAGGTTCTACTCGTGCAGACTGAGCGGAGGGGCCCCAGGTCAGTCTGCCTTAATGATTAGAGAGCTGACCTTGCTGCACATATATATTTGCAGATGGGGTGGCAAAATGCCCCATGGAGACATGGCCCCAGTCCGTCCTATGGATGGGACTGCCCTTTATAGCGCAAACATATTCTGCAGCACTGTACAATCATAGAATGGAGACAATTAACAAGTAGTTGACATGACAAATATTAACAGAGACAAGAAGTTTGGAAGGCCCTGCTCAAACGAGCTTGCAATCTATGACCGGTCGGCTATCATGTTATCTTAGATGACTCCAGAAAGTGGTCTGGCTAGTAGGAAGAGAATTAGATGATGTCAGAGGATGCTAATATAGTGGGTAGAGAAAGAGACATTCATATCGAGGGGCAAGTATCTTGATATGGCAGAGATGGGTTGAACTCTCAATTAGGTGGTCTGGATGCAGTAGCCCTCTAGTTTTTAACCCTGTAATATAAAACATAGCAGTTTTGTAGATACGGCAATGTCTTGATTGAAGGGACTTCCTGAAGGCTACTAGAGATTTGGAACAACCAAGTCCCTATGTATCATAGGGAAACATTGGATTTAATACTTCTAGACAGACACTGAAGACCCTTCCCTTGCAATGACCAAGTGAAACTCATAGGAAAGCATAAAATTCAATGCTTTCCTGAGGAGCTTTGGACTGGACATTCATCTTACAAGTGACATAAAACTTTTTAAATTTAAAGTAATTTTTAATAGAAACATAGAAACATAGAAACATAGATGTGCGCATTGTATTAACTAATGTATTTCGAATGCTATAGTGCTCATTTAAATATAACCAGCATGTTGGTATTACTATGGGTGAATTAAAAGTGCAAAAATATTCTTATTTAATACCTTGGGGTGTCTACTTTCTGCAAATATGTACTTTTGTGTAGCAGTTTATGAATTTTAATAAAGTTATAGACTCTTTATGCCAAATTTTAGATGTAAAAAACAGATAAAATTCGTATGGTGTAATAACTTTTTTATTGGACTAACAGAATTTTTTAATGACAAGCTTTCGGGAGAACCTCCCTTTCTCAAGTCTAAAGACGACACATAGAATTCAAAGTTGAGTTGTGATACAGGGGTTAAAGCGACATGAGTGCAGATAAGACACAGGTTTGTTAGAAAATAGACAACATTTGCAGAGGGTCATAAATATCTTTCTGAAGATCAGAGTGGGGGGGGGAGAGGGAGAAAAAAAAAATTGTATATATATATATTTGCATTTATATTTGTGTATATGAGTTCATCTGCATGTATGTATGTGTTTATGCATTTATATATATATATATATATATATATGCATAAACACATACATGCAGATGAACTCATATACACAAATATAAATGCACAGTCGTATATATAAGCATATATGTATATGAGTATGGGAAAGCATAGGTCTATACATATTACTTTGTATATTGATAGAATAAACATTTTGGAATGCGTTTTGAAGTGTTGATACATGACAGAACAGTAAGATAATGTGGGGGAGAATGCCAAATTTTACAAAGATTTATCGTTAAAACCTTAATTCACTCCTTGAAATATTTGTCCTTGAAAATTTAAAATATGGGTTTAATTCAACGACATACTGACCATTTTTAGCAAGCAGGACTAGTAAGGGAGTCTATCTTAAGTTATTTATTAGCACTTATTGTGTAGAAATTATTATAAATAAGCAAAATCAGTGCACAAATTGCACTCCATTTTTAAAAATATTTTAAAAATATCTTATTCATAGTTAATGGTGTTACATATACATACAGGGTATCAGAATAAAGACCTACATGTCCTTTAAAAACAATACGTAGTATGTATGGGTGCACTTTAAGATTAAGCATTACCTTAAGGTGGAAAACCATATCGCAAAAATATCGAAAAGTCACGTTTCCAAAAGTAAAAAAGCTACGATCACTAATTGCATAAAAGATCACTGTAGTATTTATAGTGGTAGATGTGTATTGCGCTATCCCCCTGTAAGGGTGGAAACTATTTGTGAATAGTTAAATACTTACGTCTGTTCTGCCAAGGACATCTGAGCTTATTCCGGTGAACCCCTTACCTTTTATGTTAATTTATACAAAAAGAAATACTACCTTCCTCACACATTTTTTGTCCCTTTAGACATAAGCCGGATAACCTGTTAGAGGTCTGTCTAGGCATAAGCATTATTAAATACTAGCTATCAATTAGGAATGTACTGAATAGTATGTTCCACTAGTATCATGCTGACAGCTTATCAGTACTATTTCTAATACTACAATGTTCTTACCTGCTCCAATTATCTTCTAGTCTCGTGTTTGATGCGAAACATCAGATTCAACTTATTTAAATTTTTTTTTTAAATTTGACAATTTTTATTATCATTTTGTCAAGTCAAAAAACAGCTTGGGGGAAAGGGTACAGAAAAAAGGTGGGGTGGAGGGGGGGGGGTCAGCAGATATGCAAATAATCAAATAGTACATAGTAATCAAACAGTACATAGTAATCAAGCAGTACATAATACCTTGTGGTTAACTCTGTCTATGGTTTACCGTAGTGTGCAGCAAATTGGAGGGAGAGGCTGACCAACCTCACTGACACAAGGTTGACTATATATGCTTATTATACAGATTGTGTTATGGAGACATTGTTATGATTTGGATAGCGTAATTTTACAGTAGTGGTACTCTGGAGTACCGGTTGGACTGATCTCAATGTGTCCCAGGCAGTCCATAGTTTACTATATGTTCGTAAAAATGTTGATCATCTTTATCTGAGATTAGTCTAGACAAGGACGGGCATTGTGTGGACTTCCATGCCCTTGAGATTAATTTTTGGGCGTACAGTAGTATGTGGTAGATAAGCTTCTGTTTAAACTTGGGTATCCCTTTCGGGAGGAGCATGGTTACACAGATCCGTGGATTCAGGGGTAATTTGAGTTCCGTCGTGGTTTCAGGGAGGTTGTGGACAGAGGTCCAAAAGGGTCTAATGGACGGACCTTTTCACCATATATGGAGGGCATTTCCCTCTGCTATTCAACATCTCCAATAGGTGGGGGGGGGCTACCTAAGTAGATTTTGTGGAGACATGTAGGTACCATGTACCACCTATAGAGTACCTTCCTCTGTTGTTCCAACAGTGTGCAGGATTTAATAATTTTGACAGTGTCCTGGAATAAAGTGTTCCATTGTTGCGGGGTAATGTCTAATTCCAAATCTGTGTTCCGCTGTTGTGCCATTTTTGTATTGGGGAATGGGAGGTGATTTACAAGCTTTTGGTAACACATGGAGATAGGTTAGATTCAACTTATTTAAGGTTGCAGTATGATTTGTGCGTTAATGTCTTCGAAGATGAATAAGAACGTCCAGTTTAAATCTTCAGGTCACTTAAGCTCTAAGGGCTGTAGAATGTGGATTGTGTGGAATGAATGATTGAGAGACATAATGGTTTGTTTGGTCCTTTTTTTCCGGTTTCCCTGCACAGTTTCCTAATCACTGTAGCTATAAGCTCCACTCCCTCAGTGACAGACCACACACAAGGAAAGTATATGTTGGAAAAAAATGTTTTACCCATGCATTGCTTAGTGAATATTCCCCTTGACATACAGAGCTATACATTTGAAGTTACAGGTGAAAGGGTTAATCGACTTCTCTTTAACTCCCTCAGTTCTAGAACCTCCAGTCACCAAATCAATTGATGGAGCTCTTGTTAGCAAAAGACACAGACTTGAAAGTGCTTAACAAAAAGTCTCAATGAGTATATTTTTAGGGCTAGCATTTATACACAGTTTGTCACGCAAGCAGCGAGATTTATCGCTTCCTTATAGTTAATAGTACATACTTGTGTAGCAGTAGAAGATAAGCATTTGAATACAGACAGAACAGGAACATCCTGAGGTCGAGCGAGGTCACACATCCTCTAGAAGGAAGACCTTGGTACAAAATACATCTGCCAAAGTCAGCATAATTATTTCAAACATTATTTTAAAGCATATAAAGCAAAAAGAGTTTAACTATTTCATATCCTTACATTCAGCACTAATGATTATGAACCTTATCTAAGCATAAAATCCAAATGAACAAGAAAAGTTAACTACTTCATATCCTTTCAACAGGGCGTCAGTCTCATGTCCTGTTTTCTACTTCTGTATTTCTTATTACGTAGCTAAAGTATTACTGTATACACTGCTTGAAAGACCAAATGGTCAAGGGGCCTGATTATAATTCAAGATTGAAAGAGTTAAACTCGCATTTTATAAACATACAGTATTTTTGTGTTCTTGCTCCTGACTCCAGCCTGTTTTTTTTTTGTTTTTTTTTTAAATCCTGCACTTACAAAACATCACATTCTTTCTAACACCTGCAATTTTTAATTGGTTTCCTAATCTCAATCTCACTTGCATCGTTAACGGGAAACTAATTAACAGCATTGCGAAATGTTATATGAAAAATTATACTTTAGCTTCTGAGACGCCCATGATTGGTTAATGTTGTCGTTGATGTATATACCCCTAGACAAGCTGTGCCTCAGATTTTCATACCATATATTAAACTGGCAGAATACTAATGATCTTACATAGTATTGTTGTTGTGTGATTTTATTCAGTATTCCCAGCTTTGTACAGACGTAAAGGAAAGCTCATTTGTTGTTGCATAAGTCCATGGCATCAAAAGAGAAGGAGTCTCTAGGACCTTGTGGTGTACTTGTACCTCAATTGACCAAATAATTGCACAGCGTTTGTATCTTCACAAATCCCCCACCTCCCCAACTTCTGATAGTTTAGAAAGGTTAATACGGAAGTGAAATTCTGCATCTCCCGAGGCTTCAAGACCGAGTTGGGTGACCAATGTATTTTTTTATTTTTTCTCTTTTCTCAATCAAAAAACCCTTGCACAGTGTGACAGTAGATGGTAGGATGGCACAAAGACTCTTTGCACCATGACCACTGCAAACAGCTGGTGGGTGTATGGACGTAGGCACAGTAGGGGATATGTCTGCCACTTCAGTGTTAATCGGTAATGAGTATTTCTCTGATAGACTGTATTTGCCTAAACACCATTCTTCACTGTGGTTGTAGATGTGGAAGGAGCGCTCCGACCCTGTGTTGCACATAGAGCTTCGTCGATGGGCTCATCTCATGCTGATTGCTCCCCTTGATGCCAACACTTTAGGAAAAATAGCCAGCGGCATTTGTGATAATCTTCTGGTAAGCCTGGAAATGTAACTGAATATTATTACTGGGGCAACCTCTTCTTGTGTAAACATATGTAAATAAGCCCAGCTAAAATGTGTGGCCGAGAAAGGAGTTGCCTACTATGTTTTGTTTGTTTGTTTTTTGGCTTGTTTTTATTTTTATTTTTAATTTGGGCGCTTGAGATGTAAATTTTGTATAAACTGACTGACTCGAAAAGTACTAAATGGCTTACAAGCATTATCTTACTGCAAACCTCACATGATAATTAGTTTCCATCCAGCATTGTGAAAAATGAATGTAGGTATTGTCGCGCTATAGGTAGAATGGAATCCTGGGGTGCTTTTAAGCCTGTATGAATCTAAATATAAACTCCAGTGTCGGAATGGTAGTCCATAAATATTGGGACATCGACACAATTCTAATCTTTTTGGCTCTATACACCACCACAATGGATTTGAAATGAAATGAACAAGATGTGCTTTAACTGTAGACTTTCAGCTTTAATTTAAGGCTATTTACATCCAAATCAGGTGAACGGTGTAGGAATTACAACAGTTTGTATATGTGCCTCCCACTTTTCAAGGGACCAAAAGTAATGGGACAATTGGCTGCTCAGCTATTACAAGGAGCAGATAAAAGGTCCGGAGTTAATTTCAAGTGTGCTATTTGCATTTGAAATCTGTTGTTGTCAACTCTCAATATGAGATCCAAAGCGCTGTCACTATCAGTGAAGCAAGCCATCATTAGGCTGAAAAAACAAAACAAACCCATCTGAGAGATAGCAAAAACATTAGGTGTGGCCAAATCAACTGTTTGGAACATCCTTAAAAAGAAAGAACGCACCGGTGAGCTCAGCAACACCAAAAGACCCGGAAGACCACGGAAAACAACTGTTGTGGATGACTGAAGAATTCTTTCCCTGGTGAAGAAAACACCCTTCACAACAGTTGGCCAGATCAAGAACGCTCTCCAGGAGGTAGGTGTATGTGTGTCAGTCAACAATCAAGAGAAGACTTCACCAGAGTGAATACAGAGGGTTCACCACAAGATGTAAACCATTGGTGAGCCTCAAAAACAGGAAGGCCAGACTAGAGTTTGCCAAGCAACATCTAAAAAAGCCTTCACAGTTCTGGAACAACATCCTATGGACA